GATCAGGCCAAAAATCTTGGCAATGGCTTTGATTCTTCTCTTCCTCTAATGAACCACACCAAACCTAATGGCCAAGTCTTTAAAGCTCTACCTTGAAAATATCTCAAGAAATGTCTACTTCTCAAAACAACAACCACTATCACCCAGATTTAATTGACTGTTACCTCAGCCTCTTGATTTCTACCTCTGGTTCCATTCTTCCTCCTCTACCCTCTATTATCATTAGGTCCTATAAGGCAATTCCTTTAAAACATAAGTCAGATTGTGTCAATCCTTTGCTCAAAGCCTTCCAATGGTTTTCCAGTTTTTACAAAACCTATTTTCCTTCCTAGACTCCTCTTCAAGGTACTACTTAATCTGATCCCCAACCTCTTTCTAAACTTCATCACTTACTACTATCATCTTTTACTTTGACCACATGTCCTACTCCTTACGATTCTTTGAATATGTCAAGCATGTCCTCATTGCAAGTCTTTGTTGTTGTTTTTAAGATTGTATTTATTTACTTGAAAGAGAGAGAGCGAGCGAGCGAGAGGGAGAAGCAGATTCCCTACTGAGCAGGGGGACCAATATGGGGCTTGATCCCAGGACTCTGGATCATGACCTGAGTTGAAGGCATACACTTAACTGACTGAGTCACCCAGGTGCCTGGACCCTTGCAGGGTCTTTGAAGTTTGTTCTCTATAGTTAAGTGTTCTTTATTCTCCATCACTCATTCCCTCACTTCCTTTGCTCAAATGTCATCTTCTAGTTCTACTTTTGCTAGTGGCAAACTACCTTATTTCAGCCTACCATAAAAGATAATAAACTCTAGACTACACAGATTTTACACACAGACACACACACACAGACACAGACACAGACACACACACACACAAGTACAATGTGAAGGCATTGGGGAACAACTAAAAGCAGGCAAAAAAATGAAGGGAAGTTGACCTTTGGAAAAAAGTATACTATGAGACATTAATATTTATACAGATTATCACATAGTGGTACTTCCAAGCCTCTGTGGCATAGGGTAGCTGAATTCAAGTAGAAAGCCACAGTCTAAATGGCCTGAGAAGTTAGAGGACAAAGTTCGAGGCTGCTAAAGTAGTTCAAAAATAGTTAAATCCCAGAAAGGAGGGAGCTACAGAGAGGAGATTCAATATCAACATAAAAATTTGGCCCAAATCTTTGACGGGATGCCTGAACCTCACAAATTTATGTAAACTCCATAGTCTATAGGAATCAACAGAAGACTGAAAGAATAGCAGATATTTTAGCTACTGCTTTTCTGAGGAGAGAGAGACAAGATTTTAAATCGAGCCAAGATAACTGTTTTTAGGACAAAAGTCAACATTCTCCAGAAAATTATTAACAAAATTGAGAATCTCGGGTGCCTGGGCAGCTCAGATGGTTAGCCATCTGCCTTCAGCTCAGGTCGTGATCTCCAGGTCCTGGGAACAAGCCCCACATCAGGCTCTTGGCTGGTTCAGCAGGGAGCCTGCTTCTCCCTCTCCCTCTGCTTCTCCCCCTGCTTGTGTGCTAATCTCTGTCTCTCTCAAACGAATAAATAAAATCTTAGAAAAAAATTGGGAATCTCTACTACACATCATTTACAATGTTCAGTATACAATCAAAACTACTACATAAGCAAAAATATAGGAAAGGTGAGAAAGAATTAAGAGAAAAAGTTATCAATAGAGAATGACTTAAGTAACTCAGATGTTGGCATTACAAAATAGGGTATTTTTAAGCTTGTGTATATGCATGTGTGTTAAAATATAAATAACATAAGACAACATTTTAACAATTTTTATGTGTACAATTAAGTGGCATTAAATACATTCATAATGTTATATAATCATCATCACCATTTTCTCATATGCAACAGAACCAATGTCCCCATTAAATACTAACTCTCCATTTCTTCCTCCCCACCTCAGTAATCTGTTTATTCTACTTTCTCTATGAATTTGCCTATTTTAGTTACCTCATATAAGTGGAATCATACAATTTTTGCTCATAAAAGAACATAAAAGTCCAGCTTAATTCACTTAGCATAATGATTCCAAGGTGTAAATTTACATTGTAGTATGGGTCAGAATTTCTTTCTTTTGTATGGCTGAATAATATTCCATTATATGTCTATCTCACATTTTGTTTATCCATTCATCCACTGTGGGACAGATGGATTGTTTCCATTTTTTGGCTATACCAAATATGTTGCTATGAACATTGGTGTACAAGGATCAATTTGAGAGAGAGCAACTGAAATTGCTTTCAATTCTTCTGGATTTCTACTTAGGTACCGAAATGCAGAATCATATGGTAATTTATAAGTTTAACTTTTTGAGAAACTGCCAAACTGTTTTCCTCAGAAGCCATACAATTTTACATTCCTACCAAAAATGCACAAGATTTCCAATTTCTGCATGTCCTCATCAAACACAGGTCTTGTTATGCAGATAACAAAGTTTGAAAATTATTTTTTAAGAAGTCCACAAAAATTAGTTGTGCTGGCAAAATTGGACTTAGCATAAAACCTGTTAAAGAAGAGACTATGAAATGACAAAACTCATTTAGATACTTAAGTTTTGGTAAACTGTTATTTACAGGAAAATCACTCCCTGCAATTTGTAACTGTAATAAATCACTGTCAAGCTTTTAAGAAAAGCTAATAAAAGTAAAAATTCAAACAGTCATGCTTATATATCACAACTGTAGTTTGAGGTTTTGTTTTGCAAAATCACCTTCAAACAAATTTACTTAACGTTTAAACATTCATTGCTAAGGTTCCCTTTTGATCAACAGCCTCAATTCTAATCTCTTTTTTATAAAGGCACTAATGGTTTTCTGTATATCAAGTAATATTGTAGAGATGGTGTAATAAAACATTACCTTAAGTAAGGGTTGGTTCATATATTGTTATAGAGAATGAGATCTTTTTAGAGGAATTCTGTTATCACTGCTCAGGGTCCGAGACCACTACCACCCAAAATGAGATAGGTCATGTAAATCAGGGGTTGAGAAAGGAATAAAATGATCTGGAGGTTTAAAGTGAAGCTATGTTACAAAACTGCTTATGGCCATCTCAAGAAAATAAAAGGTTTTATTTCAAAATGTTGCAATGATTAACAACGATATTAATGTTTATCCTGGATGTATGTCTGTCTGTCTATATGTATATATGTATGTCTTACAGGGCAAGACAACTGATGTCTGTCTGTCTGTATGTATGTATGTATGTCTTACAGGGCAAGACAACTGATGTCACATAGTCAATTTCTCAGGACAATATTATTGTCTCCATAATGACTTTAAATATATTACTAATTAAATCACTACAAATACAATAAATCTATTGCCAAGTAACGTAAGACATACTGAGAGAATAGGGATCATTAGTAGACAATGATGCCCTAAAATGGTAAATAAAATCACACTTGATGTATCACACTGCCATCTGATTTTCAAATTCTTAGTAAGTACCTATTTACTTAAATCTAAGACATAATTGGTTGAAAGATGGACCACAATTTTAGAAACATTAAAATGTGAATAAAAGCATCAAAAGATTGATAAAGTATGGTAATTTCATATTATATGTAGTAAATAGGACTATTATTTCCAATTACTACTTTTCTGGAAATATTTTTGATAAAATAGTTCAGCATCTGATAGGGCATAGGGATCCATCATAATATTTTTTTCTATGGGCACAGGCTTCCCCTAGCCCATAAATTCTAAGAAATAACTATAAAAAACTCCATTAAGACAGGACATCCATATTGCCACTGCTTATCATTAAGATTTTAAATGCTATCAATCTTCTTTTTTAAGGCATAAAAATTACAAATAAAGCTAAAGCCCCTTTTGAGCAACACTTTCAAACCTAATCTCTTGCCAGAGACAATACTAACAATAATTTGGTATGTACCCTTCTAGTCTATTTTAAATACATACATATTTCAATACTAGAAACATATTTCAATACTAAAAACTGTTCATGATTTAACTCCAGTTTACATAAATGTCATTATACAATGTTTCATTTGGGGATCTTTTTTTTTTTTTTCACTCTACACTGTTTTACATAACTATCCATGTTACAAAATACAGATCTAGTCTATTACTTTTTACGGCTGTATACTATTTCATTACTTGACTGTATCACACTTTATTTATCCATTACCCCATCAGTATTTAGCTTGTTTTCAGTTTATATATGTATTTCTTATGGGTGTTTTTTCTTTAGAATGAAAATACAGAAATGGAACTGCAGAGTCCTTTCATCTTTTAAAAAATGTTTCCCTGCCTCAAAGTCATAGACAACATCCTGTATTTCCTTCCAAGAACTTCATTTTGGCTTTTCAGATTCCAGTGTTTAAATCCTTTGGAATTCTGTTTCTTTATATATTGTAAGGTTGCATGTAGTTATTTTCTCCCTAATATGGAGAACCAAATACTTCAACAAATTTTATTGGCGGTTTCATTTCTCTACTGATTCATGATATCATGTCTACTAATACACCAAATTCATGTATATTCACTGATTTATTTCTAGGTATTCTATTCTGTAAAATCTGTTTATTTATCTATTTATGCTCTAATATAAGACACTATTTAACAACCACAACTTTTGTGTAGTATATGGTAGAAGATGTGTCCTGTCTCCTCCTTTCAAAATTGTCTCGGCAATCCAGGGACTTCCATTTCACATGAATTTTAGAATTATTTTGCAAAGATCCTAGAAAATTCGTGTTAGATGTTTGGAACTACATAAGGTCTATAAATTAATTCTGGGAGAACTGATATTTTTATGATATTGGGTTTTTCCATCTGTATATACGGTATTTCTCTCGATTTATTCAAGGCTTATGCCCTTCAATGAAGCTTTACAATTTTTCCATAAAGATCTTGTTCATTTTTTTGAGTTTATGCCAGTATGTTTCATAAAGCAAAGCATGGGTTGAATTTAAGAAAAGACCTTTCCCTCATTTAGTACACTCAGCGTTTCTCACCTGTATGCCCTCTCTTATGTATAGAAAGGGATGCTCTTTGAGAGAATGCTTTCCCACATTCATTACATTCAAAAGGTTTCTCACCGGTATGACTTCTCATATGTATAATAAGTAATGAGCACTGAGAGAAGGCTTTTCCACATTTATTACATTCGTACGGTTTCTCCCCTGTATGACTTCTCACATGAAGAGTAAGAGATGAGATTCGAGAAAAGGCTTTACCACATTCATTACATTTAAACGGTTTCTCTCCAGTATGAATTTTTTCATGCTCAAGGAGATTTTGTCTCTGACTGAAAGCTTTTCCACATTGATTACAATTATAGGGTTTTTCTCCAGTATGAATTTTCTCATGTTCGGTGAGATTTGATTTCTGACTAAAGGCTTTCCCACATACTGTACATGCATAAGGTTTCTCACCAGTATGAATTCTCTGGTGTCTAATGAGGTTTGACATCTGAATAAAAGCTTTCCCACATTCATTACATTCATATGGTTTCTCTCCAGTATGAATTTTCTGATGTGTAATTAGATTTTCTTTCCTGCTGAAGGCTTTTCCACACTCGTTACATTCATAGGGTTTCTCAGCTGTATGATTTCTCATATGTACAGTAAGGGATGAACTTTGAGAGAATGCTTTCCCACATTCACTACACACATAGGGTTTCTCACCTGTATGACTTCTCATATGTATAATAAATACTGAGCATTGAGAGAAGGCTTTTCCACATTTATTACATTTATAGGGTTTCTCCCCTGTGTGACTTCTCATGTGTAGAGTAACAGATGACATTCGAGAAAAGGCTCTACCACATTCATTACATGCATAAGGTTTCTCCCCAGTATGAATTTTCTCATGCTCAATAAGGTTTTGCTTCTGGCTGAAGGATTTTCCACATTCTTTACATTCATAGGGTTTTTCTCCAGTATGAATTCTCTCATGTTCAATAAGATTTGATTTTTGACTGAAGGCTTTCCAACAGTCCTTACATGCATAAGGTTTCTCCCCCGTATGAATTCTCTGGTGTCTAATAAGGTTTGACATCTGAATGAAAGCTTTTCCACATTCATTACACTTATACGGTTTTTCCCCAGTATGAATTTTTTGATGTGTAATGAGATTTTCCTTCCTGCTGAAGGCTTTTCCACATTCCTTACATTCATAGGGTTTCTCTCCAGCATGAATTCTTTCATGTCTGATGAGGTCAAATTTATGACTGAAGTCTTGTCCACACTGATTACACTTAAAGGGGGTTAGAGCATGGGATGAGCAGTGGTAAAAAGGCTTCCCATACTTATTATAGTCATAGTTTTTCTCTCTTACACAATTCTTCTCATAACTAAGTAAATCTAAATTATGTTCCAAACCCTTATCAAGTGAGTCACAATCAAAGAAGTTTTGTCTTGAAGTAAGAATATCTGAGCTCAAAGGAAATATTTTTGTAACTCTTTTACATTCAATGACATTTTTCTTAATCAGAGTTTTCTTGGAGATGGATGTGACTTTCCTCACAAGTGTTTCCTTTTGCTTCTTGCTCTGTTCATCAACTTCCCAAACTTCTAAAATGGAGGACCAAAAATTATTACTTTTGAATTTTTCTGCTACTACACTATTAATAACATTTCAGAAATTTGCTCTTATGGAGTTGATCTTTTATGCTGATTCTAGTTTCCCAATATGAAAGAAATCCAAAGTGCAAATTACCTTAGTTTCTAAGTTTTAAGAGGTTAACTGCTATAGAAAATATTTTGGAGAGAAAACTGACATTGATAGGCCTAAATAGCTTTGACTGCTTTTAAAAGTATGCTTATGCAATGCAGAAATCAGTAACATGAACAGAATAATTAAGATGAAAGGGTGACCATATAAATGGATAGGGAGTCAAAATGATCAGAGGATAAAATTAACACTGTGGTTAAACACAATAGATTGAATGTATATGCTTATTTCTCCTCTTCCCTTAAATTCCATTAAAATGACAGTAAAAAAATAAAAGGTCAAACCCGCAAGAACAAAGGAAATAGGAGTGTAAAGAAGGGTGAACAAGAAATTTCAACAAGAGAACAGAGATGAAAGGGATAAAGGGAACTATTAACTAATGGAAGAGCTAAGAAGTTAAAGTACATAAAAATGAAAATCTCAAGCAACAAAATGATTTAGCCACAAAATAAAAGAAAAGCTAACAAATTAGAGGATTCAGGTACTCAAAAGGTACAGGGAAGATGTCTGAAGAGGATTAATTTAAGGTCTGAATAAGGAACACATACTTTCTAGGCAATTATTTCAGATTTGCCTAAGTAACATCTTTCCAACCTTATTCTATGTTTTTCCAACATGCAAAGGGTGAGTTATAACTGTATTTCCTAGACATACTTGCATTTAGGGTTCTGGATCTGATTTAGATTAATCATACAATTTTTAAATTCAGAAATGAATTAAAAGTAGAAATAAAATAGGCATTTTACCTAAATATTATAGCAGAAGTGGTAGGGTTCTGCAGCTCATGGTTATAGAAGCATTTCCCTGGTTCAATCAGAAACCATTTTTTTTCTTTTTAAAGATTTTATTTATTTATTTGAGAGAAAGAGAACATGAGCGGGTTGGGGGGGAAGGCAGGTAGAGAGAGAAGCAGACTCCCCACTGAGCAGGGAGCCTGATGTGAGGCTTGATTCCAGGACCCTGGGATCATGACCTGAGCCTAAGGCAGATGCATAACTGACTGAGCCACCCAGGGGCCCCCTCTTTTTTTTTTTTTAAAGTAAGCTCTACTCCCAATGTGGAGCTTGAACCTGGAGATCAAAAGTTGCATGCTCCATCAACTGAGCCAGCCAAGTGCCCCATCAGAAGCAATTTCTTGATCATGGGGGAAAAGGAACTCACTTAGCAGCTTACTCTCTGATATAATGCTGTAACTCATTCCTAAAAGCTTAATCAGTCCTCTCAAAGGTTCTCTAGGACATTTAATACCTTCATGTAAATCCCTTCCTTCTTAAATTAGCTGCTAATAAGCTCTTTGTAACTGCATCTTCACCATTACCTCCCCACCCTCCACACACAACCCACACAGGAAGTGTCCATGTATCCACCATCTGAGCAGGAAAAGGAAGGCTTACCTCTTTAGAGAAAATGAACTATACAGGCTCTAAATTTAGGAACAAGTGAAGCAGATGTAAAGGGAGGCTCATAATAAAAAACTAGGAATTACGGGGGCACCTGGGTGGCTTAGTGGGTTAAGCCTCTGCCTTTGGCCTAGGTCATGATCTTAGGGTCCTGGGATGGAGCCCCACATTAGGATCCCTGCTCAGCGGGGAGCCTGCTTCCCCCTCTCTCTGCCTGCTGCTCTGCCTACTTGTGCTCTCTCTGCCAAATAAATAAATAAAATCTTTAAAAAAAAAAAGCACTAGGAATTATGTAAACTTGTCAGATTGAGTAGTATGCTTTCTGTTGCTTGCCCCTCATGAATGCTGGCATTTACCTCCAGATAGGAGATGAGAAGATTAAAAACAAAAGACCCACAAAACTGGAATTCTAGAACTGGCATTTGCAGCTCCACAAAAAAACTCCTAGGTTCTACTAAAAAAGCATCAAAAATCTGTTAGATTTTTAGAATTTCTTTTTTATCCTTTCATTCATCAAAATGAGGAAAACTAGTAACACTGATGAATTCCCTATTTAAACAAAGACTTGAGTCTCATTAAAATTAAATACATATAGAAAACAAAGCAAACAGAAAAATTAGGCAAGTAATAACTCCAGGAATGACAAAAATCTATATAAGGATATGTAATTAATAGTCATTTCTTGGCTCAGTATAACAGTATATCAATCAAAAGAACAAAGTAAACAGTGAAAGCCAATTTGGCCAAAAATTGTGATACATCTATATCCAGAGAAAAAGGAAAGGGGAAGTGGTGGTGGTGGTATAAGAGTACTAAACCTCATCTTTCATTAATATCAAGTTGATGATAATTAGGAATTACCAATCAGCAGCATATTCAGAGAGTAACAGCTTCCATCCTATCCCTGAAACAATGATTCCTCTTCCACTGCCTGACAGGTAAGCATTTTTATTAATTTTGGGGTTAGTCTCATATTCTTTTAAAATACATATATTAAATATATATGTATATGTGTGTATATATATGCATATATATATATATCCATACACATATGCCTCTCCCACTCATTATAAAAAAGGTAGCATATCCTAAATGCTGCTCTACACATTGATTTTTTCCATTTATATATCCTGAGTGGAAGCATGACATCTCTGACTTGTTTTATAGTTTTGACACTGGAATCATTTAAGTGTTTTACATAACAAAAAAGTTAAATCAAAAGAGGAGGAAAGGGCGCCTGGGTGGCTCAGTGGGTTAAGCCGCTGCCTTCGGCTCAGGTCATGATCTCAGGGTCCTGGGATCGAGTCCTGCATCGGGCTCTCTGCTCAGCGGGGAGCCTGCTTCCCTCTCTCTCTCTCTCTCTGCTTGCCTCTCTGTCTACTTGTGACTCTCTCTCTCTCAAATAAATAAATAAAAAAATCTTAAAAAAAAAAAAAGAGGAGGAAAAAAAACAAAATAACTCTTAAAAATTGAAAACAAATAGAAATGGGTAAATCTACATATGAAGTTAGGACCATAATCATTCAAGTGACTTCAAACACAGTAATTTGACTATATCCTAAAGGAGAAAAAAATACAACAAAAGAAACCTTAAACTACATCCAGCAGTCTCTCCACCCCCGCCCCCCCCATTTATATTTTTATTTTAGAGAGAGAGAGGAGTGCTCATGTGCGCAGGGGAGGAGCAAAGGGAGAGGAAGAGAGAATCTCAAGCAGACTCTACACTGAGAACAGAGCCCACACGGGGCTCCATCTCACAAACCTGAGATCACCACCTGAGCTGAAACCAAGAGTGGGCTTCTTAACTGACTGTGCCACTCAGGCACTCCAGTAGTCTTTCTCATTATTAGTAAAATTGGTATTATTGCTAATTTGGAACTAACTAACTAACTAAAAAAAAAAAAAAATAAATAAATATATATATATATATATATATATATAGAGAGAGAGAGAGAGAGAGAGAGAGAGAGAGAGAGATATCAGTTTGGGCCCACAAGGGATATTCGGCAATGTCTGAAAGATCTGGAGACATTTTTGGCTGTTACAACTCAATGAAGTGGTGAGAAAGGGGATTGGTGCTCCCAGCACCAAATAAAGTAGAAGCCACAGAGGCTGCTAAACATTCTACACCTTATATAAAGATCCTACAATGCACAGGATAGTGCCCTATAGCAAAGAATTATCTGAACCAAAATGTCAGCAATGCCAAGGTTGAGAAATACATATGTACTAAGCAAATAAATATTTTAATGCAGTAAGGAGCCAGGATTTTCAGTATAAACGATATAAAAACAAAACAAAAAAGGTAAGTAACAACCCCTACACTCTTTAATTTGAATTGGATGTATCAATATAACTACATTTTTTTCTTTCTAAAAAATGTATTTTCCTAGCTTTGTCCGCTTACAAGCTCTATAAGCAATGACAACCTAGTACTAATGAGTAACTACTGTGTCCAGACTGTAATCTCCAAATCATTTCCCACTAAAGGAAGCAGGAGTTTCTAGAGAAATAGCTATTTTATGTCTGGAGCAGGAAATTTCATAAAATTAGCTAAAGAATCCTCTGGCTAATGATATGACAATTTGAACATTAAAATAAATACTATATTGTTAATAATATAGACTTAATAAATAACACATATAAAATATATCTAAAACATAATTTATATATTTTATAAATAAATAAGCATATTTTTAAATGTTTTCCATATATATCATTTATATGTGCTGAATAATATTTATTTTGATGTTCATTATGTAAATTATAATGATTTAACTTGGCAAACTGGAGAATGCTAGGACACCAATCATTCTCAAAGGTTCTGAAGTGGGGTGCCTGGGTGGCTCAGTCAGTTAAGTGTCTGACTCTTGGTCTCAGCTCAGGTTTTGATCTCAGAATTGTGAGTTCAAGCCTCATGTTGGGCTCCATGCTGGGAATGGAGACTACTTGAAAAAAAAAAAATGTTTTTGAAGGAAAGGAGTCAAGTATTTTTCTTTCCTGCCCTGTAAAAACTATATTTCAGAGTAATCAAACACTTACTGACAAAGGTCTTTTTTTTTTTCTTAAAGATTTTATTTATTTATTTGACAGGGATCACAATTAGGCAGAGAGGCAGACAGA